AGATGACAGCACTGTTGTCCTCTTCACAGATGCAGCCCACGATTCGCTTGTTGGTGATGGAGGGGACTAAATTAGGGTCCTCTTTAGTGCCTGAGGCTGCCTTTGGAGCAAGCATATTGTATGGATCCAGCCCTTTGCGTGCGGCCAACATGATCTCCCTCTCGAGCCCCGTCGCCTGCTCTTCGTCCGTAGGGATGCCGCCTCCAGTCGCCATACTGCGCACGGCGGCCACCCCATTGGGGCCGCGGGCCCTCAGGGCCTGGGCGGCCAACGCTCCAGCTCCGCGAAGTAACCTTGAGGCCATGACGCCCGCAACCGCCACCTTTGCTTTCTAAAGCTTCACAGTTGAGGCAGTTTTGCCCAATGCAATCTGCTGTTTGATACACTGACTACTGCTTCCGTGAGCATCAACTGTGGATTCCAGTAAAATGATTTCCTTTGACAACATTTTTTTTTGCCTTTATGATGATATAGGCCTACCGCTCCAGTTGTGAGAATCCTTGTTTTCTTTTCCCCTTGTTAGTGGTTTAAAATTGTGAATTAAATGAGAGGTTTACCTTTCAGAACATCAACTCTATTCAATAGTTCAAACCACTCATCAATCCCCCCAGTATTCTACCCAAACCCCTCACCAAATTTCTTTGCCCTCCTTGTGAACTTTCATCTTCCTTTTCACCCAAGTCAACCCTCTAGCCCAGTGGCTCTCAACCTATGGGTCAAAACCTCTTTGGGGGTCAAATGACCCTTTCACAGGGTCGCCTAAGATCATCGGAAAACATATATTTCTGATGAGCTTAGGAACCAAGACACCACTCTTCTATGAGTCTCCAGGCGCGTCTACCTGGATATGCCCACCTACGAGTACCCGGTGTGAAGACTGATACCCATGTTACACCATGCTTCAAGGCAAAATTTCAATTATTTGTCATTAGAAATAAATATTTCACAATATATGATTACATATTTTTTGTGATTAATCACTATGCTTTAATTATGTTCAATTTATAACAATGAAAATACATCCTGCATATCAGATTTTTACAGGACGATTCACAACAGCAGCAAAATGACAATTATGAGTAGCAACGGAGATACTTTTACGGTTGAGGGGTCACCACAACAGGAGGAGCTGTATGAAAGGGTCACGGCACCAGGAAGGTGGAGAACCCCTGCTCTGGCCTGTTCCTTCATCTCCCTCCTTTGTTTTAGGGTGAGGGATAGCCCTGGTGGGGCAGCGGATATGCCCTGTGCTGCGAACCTCGAGGTCAGCAGTTCAAAATGATTAGCCGCTCCGAGGGAGAAAGATAGGGCTCTCCACTCCTCTCAACAGCTAGTCTTGGAGACTCACAGGGGCAATTCTACCCTGTCCTACAGGGTAGCTGGGAGTCGGTGCCGACTCGGTGACAGTGGGTTTTTACAGTGCACACAGAATGCTGTAGTCTTTGCTCTTTATCAGCTGATACTCTAATTTCTCTTGACTTTTGGCAATCAGGGTCTTGTCACCTGTGTACTGAGGTTAATGATGTTCCTGATGCAGGTTCTTCACAGAGTCAAGCCTCTTGGGTCATTTGCTCAGCTCAGAGAATGAGTAAGTCTGGGGAAAGGATTTAACCCGGATACAAACTTTTCCTGACTTTAAACCACATAGTATTCTTGTTTTGTTCCAACTGCCTCTTGGTCTATGCATAGGCTCTGTGTGAGTACAGTTGGGTAGTCTGAAATTCCCATTTTTCTCAATGCTATCCATTGTCTGCTATGATTCCCACAGCCAACTACAGGTAAACCTCTCTCAGGCCTTCTCTGCTTTCAGCTTAGATCCATCGGGCAGTAACAATAGTGCTTGTTCCAAATCCTCGTCTGAGTCCAGATGAATTTCTAGTTTTACGCTGTAGTTAAACTGCTGCAACCTTTTAGAATTATCGGCATGATTTTTCTTGTATGTGATATAAATGATGTTATTTGATAATGTCTGTCTTCTGTTGGATCACCTTTGGAATGGGTATAAACACAGATCTCTTTTCCAGTCACCTGACTTTTCTTTTTTTTTTTAATTGGGAGTTAATACATATATTATTCCATAGTCAATCATATCAGGTGGTATTGTACCCCAGTCAGTTTCCAAACATTCTTTTCCTTCCTGGACTCCTTGACATTGCCTCCCTTTTACTCAGCAACCCCCACCTCACCCCCACCCGCGCCCCTGTACCCCACCCCACCCCGCTGTTCTTTCTAATGATGAATGTGGCATCCATTCTGTTTTATTGTGGATGCCTTCCAGTTTTCCTAGATCCATATACCCCGTGGTCTGGTTATTAATGGATATTTGCTGCTGCTGCTTCTCAGTTTGCGTTATTCCCATCAGCAAACGAAGGTCCTGAACCCTTTGTCCCATCCACATCTCTATGGCCGCCTCTACCGTGAAGAAGCAGATCTTCCCAGTTATATTTTCAGTGTTTTCCAAGCTGCGGGCCTTACCATCCTACACTCACTCCCACCATGTCCCGCTATTGCTCCTGAGGTTTTTTAGTCGCTAGTTTTGTAGAAACGTAGCCTCATCCTTCTTCGTAGGCTACTTTTAGTCTGAAGCTCCCCTGCAACTTGTTCACCATGGGTGACCTGCTGCTATTCGAAATACTGGTGGCATAGCTTCCGGCATCTCAGCAACGTGCGAACCCCCAAAGGACAACGCACTGACAGATGAGCGAGGAACGGCAACAGCAGCTAGGACTGTTAAGTACTAGCCACTGGGTGTGCTAGGTACTTGGTGATGAATATATCC